GCAAGAGGGCAGAGATGCAAGACCACAGTCAAAAGTGGGGCCCGCGGAAAGAGTCACGGCTCTAGTCTTCCAGACTACGGAACGCATTCTGCATGTCTTCAAAGAGCTGGGCGTAGTCTGCCTTGATCTTTGCCTCTCCGTCTTTCACCGGGTCCTGAAATTCAATAGAACAAAGCTAAGGATCTCTTGGAGAGAGCGTGTTTCGGAGAACGGCCACTGCCAGAAACACTTCCTAGGATCTGTGCTTAAGCTAATATGTGACAGCATGCTCTACCAGCTTGAATAATTTATTTATTTTTTAAAAAGAGGCATTTGTGCAGTCTAGCATCTTTCAGTCATCTCTAGTGAGGAAGGCAAGGCATTGTGCCAGATGCTAACAGGAAGAAGAGCTTGGATTTATACTCCGCCCTTCACTACCTGAAGCTCAGAGCGACTTTACAATCTCCTTTCCCTTCCTCTCCTCACAACCTGCGAGGTAGGTGGGGCTGGAAGAGCTCTGAGAGAACTTGTAACTGACCCAAGGTCGGACCAGCAGTTGCACGTGGAGAATTTGGGGATCAAACTCGGTTCTCTCAGATTAGAGTCTGCGCTCCTAACCACTACGCCAAACTGGATGACACATGATCACCCATGAAGCAGCTGTCGCATGGAGCCAGATCAACAGAGTGGTGGTGTAATGGAACAGTCTAGTCTCCTATTCAGTTGGAGAATCTGGACCAGTTAGTCTTCTAAGATTTGTTCTTTAAACTATTTGGCCCCAGCTATCTCCAGGATCTATCGATACAGTTGTTTGCAAGCCTTGGTAGTACAAATGAATTTAATTTTGAGTTCTGTTCTTTGACCCCTTGCATGCACACTGGGTGGAAAATATATAGAATTAACTATATTTTAAAAATTGTTAGAAAATACAAATACATGAACATTAAACCTATAGCTGCTGCAAAAACAAGTGCCAATAAAATTTAAAACAAACCAGATTTCAAATTATTACGCAATCAGATTGACCGACAGATGAACCAATATGAGCTCAGAACGACATGAAAACGTGCAAGATAGAGACAGCCTGTAATTTAAACAAAACCTTGCCACGACGGGGGTGGGTATAGTTAAATACTGGCCTAATTTTTGGGCCTGAAACGGATAGTACCATTCCACTTTCTCATGGGACCAGGATTTGGCTGACCGACGAAGGGTACACTTACCAATTCCTTGTCTTAACAAAGCAAGGCTATACTAGAGTTGCTTAGTAATAGCTTCATGGCTGTGTGGGGACTTGAACTCGGGGCTCCCTAGTTCTGCTCTGACATTCTACCACTACTCCATGCTAGGGGGTTACACAACAGCGAGAGGAAACTCACAGTGCATGTAGTCAGAGGTTTGTTATTCAGTCACGGTTGAGCTCTTGCACTCAAAAGATTTCAATGCCCTTCGTGGCTGCTTTCCTCCATAACTTGCGTGGACGTTCACAAGGTGATGGTCCAGACTGCACAGTCCGAATGCGCCTGCCCCCTCTAATGACTACCCCACGCTGGCTCTCCACTTTATACGCTCAGCCTCTGTGACCAGACACCGCTGAAGTTGTGCCAGCCTTCCCACCATTGACTTAACAGGAGGCTAGCCAGAATTGCTATCCAATTCTCCTTCACCAATGAAGAGGCTTGAAAGCCATCTTCAGATGGCATTACCTTGAATTTCATAGAGGAGAGTCGGTAGAGGATTTCACTCATGTTCTCCCGGATGATGGACCAGGTGATCCTGTTGTCGCTCTGGGCCGTGGTCTCCACTGCTCGGCGTGCCATGTCGTAGAAGGCGATCATATTGGACAGGATCCCCACGGTCTTGTAAAATGGGCAGAACCTGTAAGGGACGGCACAGGAACGGATCACCGTGAATTGGACAGGTTGTGGAGGACCAAGGACTTCTGGAGCATCCCCACACAAATCAGAGAATCATTCTCGTCTTTGTGAGACTGCATTTAAATTTTTTGATTTTCATCCCCCATGAAAATCCCTATGAATATGGGGGGGAGTACTCCTGCTCTGTAGTCAAGACCCCCCTCCCCGCCCGGGCTCTTTTTGTAGCAGGTACTCATTTGCATATTAGGTGACACACCCCTAATGTAGCCAATCCTCCAAGAGCTTACAGTAGCTCCTGTAAGAAGAGATCTGTAAGCTCTTGGAGGATTGGCTACATTAGGGGTGTGTGGCCTAATATGCAAAGGAGTTCCTGCTACAAAAAGAGCCCTTACCACTGACAATGGGAAACATGTCCTTGAACAACAATTTTGTAATCAAGGATTACAAACTCCCACACAGTATTCTGACCGGTGTTGCGCGCATGCTGACATTCTGAGTTATGCACACCCATCACATTTTTATCCTGTCTCTGAGGAGCTTGCAAAACAGAGATGTCCCACCAGGCCTTCAGTTGAGGAGGCGGGCGTCCATCTCAGTTGGCCTCCCTGCTTTAGTTCCCAGCCTGCTGAAAGGGCCCATCTGATTCCACCTTGTGGCCCCAACGGATTTATATTGCTGCTACCAATTTTATTGTTTTTTTATTACTTTTATGTGATTTTATGGTAACGAGCCTTTGACTCAGTTTTGCTGTGATCCGCCTTGAGCCCGTTCGGGGAGGGCAGAATAAAAATCCATAAATAAATAAATACACTTGGCGGAAACGTGGCACCCACGGTCACCACAGTGGGGACTCCCGGTCTATGCTATAACACGGTGTATTACACTGGCTGGCTTTGCTTGTATGCTTTCAAGCATATCTTGGCAACTAGAAAAGAAAAACCTTGCTTTTTGTTACTGAATGAAGACCAAGATTCTTGGGTGCGCAAAACCTGCTGAGAACTCAGAAGCTGGAGGTGTGGCTGAATGTTAGGGGCCACGGCTTCAGAGCCCAGCACGGCTTCCTAGCTTTTCTTAGCAAAAAGCAAAGTAAAATTGTAAGCGCTGCCAGATAAATTCTGAAAAATAAGGAAGTCAGAGATAAGATGGCTGCATCGAGTGGAAACCTTTTTTCTAAGCAGCTCCCCAAGGGCTCACCTGTCATATGGGGTGTAGCCGTTCTGTTGCAGGAAGTCATCTTTAATGAGCTTAGCAACTTCCAGAGTGATCTTGTCAGTTTCTGCCAAGGAGCCCTAGGGGAGAAGAGACCAGGTTATTAGTGTGGCTCCCGTGATTACAGAATCGGTTTTGCCAGTCCAATGAGGACCGGCTCCAATGCTCTCTTTAAGGTGTGGAGTCTTGTGAGCAAAAAATTCTACTTTTGTGAGCTACTGGCATTGAAGTTGTGAGTAATCAGTTTGCTCTGGAGTCATGCTCTGGAGCCATCCTTCCTGAGCGAAGACAAAAATGTGTGCGCCAGAGGCTAAACAACTATGAGCTAGCTCACACTAACTCAGCTCAGAGGGAACACTGGCCAGGACCGGAGTAATAATGACTTCTGACACCCACCACCACTATCAGCACTAAGAAAACATCACGATAGTACTAGAATCCCTCTCTCCAGTCCCTCACCAGCATACCCTGGCTCAGCTCTGAACATTCTCTTCCGGTGAGCCATCAGCGAGCCCCGCAGTTATGCAGGAGAACTGGTTCCGCAGCACATCCCTGCGGTGCCTGCCCCACGCACCTTTCCCACCAGCTGCACGATCTCTGCAAGATCCTCCTCTTCCTGCAGGATCTCCTTTGATTTCGTCCTCAGGGGGACAAACTCTGGGAAGTGCTTGTCGTAATACTCGTCCAGAGCACGCGTGTACTTGCTGTAGCTGATCAGCCAGTTGACAGACGGAAAGTGCTTACGCTGGGCAAGCTTCTTATCCAGGCCCCAGAACACCTGCCAAGAGAGACCCCGCAAAAGTTTTAGCTCATTCTGTCAGGCCGGAAGGAGCCTCAGTTGCTTCTGCGGAACTGGCTAATTACAGCAAAGGCCCGCAGAAGACGGGAAACAGCCGCCCGCAATGGATGTATCTCATCAGAAAACCCCCAAGCTGCACCGAGAGGGTGATTCCATTTGATCCTTGCAGCCGTCCTGCGTGGTGGGCAAAGGCAGGACGAGGGAACTTTGCAGCTGAGCAGGGATAGCAGGGCGTTGTATGCAGCAAGAGTAGCTCCTAAACTTGTCGTCATTCTCTGAGGATGTAGGGACTCTGAGATCTCCATTCCGACTTGTACAGGACAAAGGGAGACTTGTACAGGACAAAGGGAGCTTTGACTCTCAAGAACTTAGACCCCCAAAATCTTGTGCATCTCTAACGTGCTGCTGGGACTCGAATCCAGATATATTCAACAGAGACTGTTCCTTGCGCTACCAACCGTCTCTGCAACAACCAACTGAACAGGCCAGGGGCTGAGTCAGGAGAATCTGTCGTTTCTGCCCTGTGGAGCAACGAACCACCCACATGGCAAGGGTGCCATCAAGCCCAGACAGACAGTGCCACTGTAGTGCCGTGTGGGGGAAGAAGGCATACCTTGGTATGTGTTTTGCACACAAGATACCGAATTCAATCCCCACCACCTCCAACCTCTCTCTCCCCCCCGAGATCTGGGTTTGGTGGATTGACAGCACACGGGAACGCCACCTGAGGTTGGGTACGCCACAGGAGAGGCATGGCTAGCCACAGCCCCTCCCACCGGCACAGCACAAACCCCTCCCCCCCACCGCCTGGGCCAGAGGATGGCCATGCTGAAGACAGTCTCCACCGTCATAAAGCTCAAGTCACAGGTCCTGGCTGGACTGAAGCAGTGCTTCAAAGAGAAGTCTGCATTCTACTGGGAAAAGCCTACCTGAACAATGCCCAGCGTAGCAGAGGTAACCGGGTCAGAGAAGTCACCGCCAGGAGGAGACAAAGAGAAGTCTGCATTCTACTGGGAAAAGAGAGCTTCAGCCTACCTGAACGATGCCCAGCGTAGCAGAGGTAACCGGGTCGGAGAAGTCACCGCCAGGAGGAGATAAAGTTTTATCCTTCCAGAAGAGTTTTTACTCTTGAAGTTCTTTTCTTCCCCATATAACAATGATCACTTTCTCTCTCTCTCTGCAAATGAAGCCAGGATTAGAAGAGAGATGACGGTGGGGACAGACGACGGCCTTGCATCTAAAGAAAGGCTGAAGATTTCCTCAAGAGGATCCGAAGAACATATTACCTTCCCAAATGAGCTGGCTGAGAGTGAGTATCCTTCATGGTTATGTCACGGGAAAAGGCAAGGAAGTGCCATGGGGGATTTCTTTTTTATTTTCAAATAATTTTGTATTATTAATTTTTTCCCAATCAAGTTTGCATAAACATCTATCTCGACCCATGGGGGATTTCTGATTCACTTCTGAGGAACATTTTGTACAGTCATTCAGCCCACAGGGGAACCGAGGTAGGCTGGATAACCGCTGTCTGCCCACAGAAACACAGACAAGTTGAGCTTGCTTCAACAGCCACCCAATGAGGCTCAAAGCTTTTGGGACCAGCCTCCCGACGGGGGTTCCCAGGAGGGAAAGACTCACCAGCAGGCATTTCTGCAAGACGGCCAGAGATTTCTCTAAGGGCCTCTGCCCATCTGGATGTGGAATCTGCCATCATACTGACATGGTAGCCCATGTCCCGGAAATATTCAGACAGGGTAATTCCTGCGAGGAAGAAAGATATGAAGGGGAGCAGGTCAGTATAAATCTCGTATGGCATTGAGAAACCACCAGGCAGCATTTCTACACTCTTAGATGTATGCAAGGCAACTGCAAAGTGGCGGACATGACAAATCTCTCCATTATTCTGGCTTCTTGCTTCCTGCCACTTTACTGCCCTTGCCAATATAATTTGCATTACATTTTGACTTGAGATATTGCCATTCCCAATTAATTAATTAATTATCATATGGCACTGTGTGTAGTATATACAACAACAACAGTACAGCACACAGTAAAAAGTAGCAAAGAATAACAAAAAACAACTGTGAGCTGAATTTCCCGCAAAATATTCACAAAGGAGACGTCATCAAAGTGAAATGCATCTGTTGTCTGGAATAAATCTAGCCATATAATCCATCATAGGAAAATGCAGAAGCCAAAGAATGAATATACAAGAATGAATTCACTGCCACAGGAGGAGGTGGCGGCTACAAGCATGGACGGCTTCAAAAGGGAATTAGATAAGCACAAGGGGGAGGGACCCGCAATACTCGCGGGGGGGGACCTCCACACAGGAGGCAGAGGAGGAAGCAGCAGGAGGAGGTAAGTTCCCCCCCATCCCGCCGGGCAAGTGATGCTCTGTCTTCTTGGTGGTTGGGGGGGGGGGTCAACAGTGGGAGGGCTTCTAATCTCCTGGCCCCACTGGTGGACCTCCTGAGGGCACCTGGTATTTTTGGCCACTGTGTGACACAGAGTGTTGGACTGGATGGGCCTTTGGCCTGATCCAACATTGGCGTCTCTTATGTTCAAGAAGCCCAACGCTTTTCCTAGGTAACTTTTCCCGTGTTTCAGACTTCTGGTCCTTCCTCAGGAACAGAGAACAACTACTGAGAGTCTCATTCCACCTCCTTTTAAGATAATGCTTTTGTATTACTCATTGGGCAAGGTCTCCTTAGCTCTAATCCGCACCCCTAAAGGCTGCTTCAATGCCAAGAGGCATGTTTTGGTCCTGATACACTGAAGCAGCCTTTAGGGGTGCAGCCAGACTTTGTTTCTTAAAGGCAGACGTTTCAGAGGTGACATGCTATTGCCTGCCTGCCTCCGCGTCACGCCCCTGGTATTCCTTGGAGGTCTCTCATCCAAATACTAAGCCAGGGCTGACCCCGCTGAGCTAGCCTGGGCCATTCCTGGTACTCAAAAGCAAGGTTAATATATCCCGAGGCAGAAAACATTCTTACCAGATGGAAAAGTGCCGAAGCCTAAGGGATTCCCAGTCATTCTTACTACGTCCCTACACGGCAGACCAACCCATTACAGATTAAGGACCGAGGCTGAGGGAACTCCCCAGCTCATTCTTGGAACTGCTGTGTTCCGTTAGTGTGTGACTTCAGAGAACTTTCTCCCAGAGGAAAAGGCAGAGGAAAGAGCACCGTCCCACAGCGGAGGTCACTGCGGAGAAGAGCTATCTGATACCAAGGCAGCACCCATTTCAGATAACCTACCGGCACCCCCTTTCCCACGTTATGGCCCGCCTTAAGCCCTGTATTGATGGGGCGTGCCTAAGAAAGGCTCCCCACTTAAGCTGTGAGATCATGACGATCCCCACTTAAGCTGTGAGGTCGTGGGCACTCCATGAAACTGCAGAGTGGTTGGGTTAGAACGGATAAGAGGAAGTCCTTCTTCACCCAAAGAGTGATGAACACTTGGAATTCACTGCCACAGGAAGTGGTGGCGGCTGCAAGCATGGATGGCTTCAAAAGGGAATTAGATAAGCATATGGAGCAGAGGTCCATCAGTGGCTATGAGCCACAAGGTATAGAGAGGGACTCTGGGGCAAGTGATGCTCTGTCTTCTTGGTGCTTGGGGGGGGGGGGCAACAGTGGGATGGCTTCTAATGTGTTTGCCCCACTGGTGGACCTCCTGATGGCACCTGGTATTTCTGGCCACTGTGTGACACAGAGTGTTGGACTGGATGGGCCTTTGGCCTGATCCAACATTGGCCTCTCTTATGTTCTTATGTCATGCCACAAGGTCCAGTCCTTGCGACTTGGGGGGAAAGGGAGCAGCGGCAGCATCCATGGCCAGAAGCGTGAGCAACAGCCAGCCCCTCGCCAGCTGCCACTTCCGAATTTCATTCATATATATATATATATATATATGTACGTTTTCTATTACATAAAATAACAGAGTAATACATAAACATTTGTTGGAAGTACAAATGGAAGATCGTCTAACAGTTTTCCCCCCACCCAGTTATAAACTTTCTGCCATCTATTCTGAAAAGTTGTTTAATCTTTTCCTGAAAAGAGTCGTATTCAGTTTATCAGATTCAGCTACTTCAATAATTTTATCCCTTAGCTCTTCTTTATTGGGTATCGTATCCTTTTCCCATTGTTTTGCAATTGATCTTGCCACTTCCGCATTTCTTACCGGTGTAGATAGAGGCCTCCCTGGCAGCGACGGGCATGTTGGAGGTGTTTGCCACGAGAGCCGTCCTCTTCATAATGCTCTCCACCTTGCCGTCAACTTCCATCGTTAGCTAGAAGGACAAGGGCATGCGAGGTCAGAGTCTGCACCCAAGGGGAAGGGCCCACCAAAGACAGGGAACTGCACCGCTGTCCGAATCCTCGAGAGGGCGCTACAAAATTCTGATTGCAGCCGAAGGGCTTGCTCCAAGCATCGCTGTCGTGATAGGCGGCCAGGCCATTCCCTCTATTTTTGATACAGACACTATTTCGAGAGTCGAATAGTGGTGGTGGAAAAAGGCCATCAAGTCACAGCTGACTTAACGGCGACCCCAGAAGCAATGAAATAACATCACATCCATGAATGGGTTCACAGTGTTTGGTAGCGGCAACTGGGATTCAGGTTCCTTTATTTGCTTGTCCAAGGAGTGTCAAAGTCCACTCTACTCTCCACACGCTTAACTCACAATAAAACATAAAAAGGTCCAGAGAGAGTTCACAGGGAATGGCTTGGGAGAACTCTGTCTATTTATTATGATTATTATAATAAGGAGTTTATTGGATACTGCTGCCGCCTGCGCCTCTGAATGACTATGAAATGTATACACACGCCTGTCCTTTCTGTGTGCCCTCCACCAGTCTGAAACTGGTGCACTGAGGAAAGCCATTTTTGGCTGATGCACAGAACAGGTTAGTGGCGATGCAGAAATGCAGAGGAGTCAAGAGCAGGAAAGTCTGCTTTCCAAAGACTCAGGGAGGATGAAGCTCTCCATCATTCCCAAACTCAGACCACCCTCCAGAACCAGCCGAGAGCGCAGCCGTGCACCAGGCCCTCTGAGCACTTTCAGACACTTCATTTCCTTGCCGACGGCACAAAATGATTCAGGGTTTCCACACTAGCTGCCAGAGAACGTAGGGACGGCCTCGGGCACAGATTCATGGAGCGTAGGTCAATCAGCGGCTACTAGCCACGTTCAAAGGCAGAAGACCTCTGAATCCCAGAGCCAGGAGGCAACATCAGGGGAAGGCCTGGGCCTCTATGTGCCCTGTTGTTGAACCTCCAGAGGAACTGGTTGGTGACTGTGTGAGACAGGAGGCTGGGCCAGATAGACCACTGGCCTGATCCAGCAGGGCTCTTCTTAGGTTCACCCTGACAATTCAAGTGACCCAAAGGAACTTCCCACTCAGCTCTTCTGCACCACTGTGAACTCAAGCAATGCCTGCTGCTCAGTGAACTATAACACCACTTTCGCTGTCGCAACATGATTCAACAACGGCACAGACAGACGGAAGCCTAAGAGCAGAGACAGTCTTAAGGGGCATCGAGGCTCACTTCCAAAGGCATTCCGCACCAGGTACTGACCTCTGGGAAGTCTCTCAGCACTTCAGACATTTCGTTTCCTCGTTCTCCACAGCCCACGTAGATGATGACGTCACTGTTAGAATACTTGGACAGAGACTGCGAAATCACAGTCTTTCCACATCCAAAAGCCCCAGGGATCGCTGTCGTGCCACCCTGGACACACCTGGGCAAAGGGAAGGACAGGGCCGGATGCATATTTGACCCAGAAGGAATAATGAATGACTGGCAGAAGGTAAGCCCCTCCCACCCCACTTGTGGAGGTGGGCCTTATGCAAATCAATACCTTCCAGTGGGAGGAGCTCCCACCTTCAGAGCGATTCAGGGTGCCCTTCATGTTAAAAGAGTCAGCATTGTAAAAACCCGGCAACGTTAACCCCGC